GCAACAATATCTTATCTAAGTTGATTGTAGTGTTCATCACATCCATAAAGTTGGTGAGAAAGTGAACGGAACAAACAATTTCCATCACCAGCCACCTCGAACACATCCATACCATAATATGATAACCTGCATATTAATGTGTGAGATGCTAAAATTCTTATGTTCAATATAATTCACTCATGTAAAACATACTTAGTGGCTAAACGATCCTCAGGGTGGATGTGTTAGGGTGCATGCTTGAGGGGATTCTCTTCTTGTTGTTCATTGCTATGTCTCCATCCTCCATAGTCATTTCAGTAATTTGAACCTTTTGTGCAATCACACCATCCTTCCAATCCTCATATTCTTGCATCTCTTGGTTTTTTGAGTTAAACGTAGCTTTGATCTCTCCTTATAACTAAGAGTAGGCTTCCCCAGACCAAAAAAAAATTCTAAGCTCCCAATTGTTGAATGTAGCCCATTTGAGAAGTTTCGATGAAACTTTAATTCCTGTCCACACAAGCATACAACAATGCCCAACTTCCTACAACTCTTTCATGGAGTCTTGGAATCCACTGTCGCTACTTACAATCAAAACATTTTGCGGCGGCTCACCTAGTTTAATCCACTCAGTTATATCTCGTTTGATGTAAGTATCTGCACACTGGTCTTTAGCTGTGAAAGGGTCTGGTGCTAAAACAAAATGATTATATATTAGAATATACAATAAAACTCAAACTAGTTAAAAAAACTCAAATACTTAAAATACTATACTTACTTTTGCATTCTTGTTCAAATGCTATTTCCAAATTCTTGCTCATCCTGAGTTCACCTAACATTTGTTCTGAACGATGATAAAATCATGAATCTAATGGTGTAAAAATACCATATATCAACTATAACGCTACCAGTGAGTTCTCATTGCTCATTTGCACAATCGCAACCCATTGTTTCTTGAAATATTGTAATATTGAACTGCACTGATAATGACCGCGTGATAATTGAGAAAAATGCTTATATTATATAATTACGTTGTATTTGATCGTGTGCT